GCTTGGGGTCCGATCCTTAACCTTTTTACCCAAGGTCTCGAACTATTACACTGATCCCTAACCATGCATAGCTAAGGCATCGATAACTTTACAACATATTGGCCCATGTCCTTTCCTCTAAAGGCACTAATACTTGCCTTCCTCTTAGACTTATCGCATCGACCCTCGACCTTTGTACCCGAAGCCGCAACACTTATCTTTGTCCAAAGTTGGCGTATCGACCCCCGACCTTTGTACCCAGAGCCTTGACGCCTAACTAGTGACGTATCATCCATCTGGCCCTGATACTCACCCATTCACTTTAGCATGTAAGAAATGTCCCCAGAGTTCTACATGTTTCTAAGTCATGACCCCAACATCAAATGTTTCACAAAAATTCAACATGCTTCCTAAACCACAGCCAACATACTAACAAAGAATGATAATACCAATATGCTTCCACAACATAATAATTTTCAATAATAACATGCTTTATAGAGAATGTAGTCACAACATATAGCAGAATCAACAATTATAACATGCTAGAACCAATTACAGTCATCCAGAACATCCAAAGAACCAATTACAGTCATCCAGAACATCCAAAAATTTTTCATAATAGCCAGAACACAACCAACTCAAAATATAACAATAGCCATATGTATAAAGTAGTACCAACCACAAGCAATCCTACAACAACACTCATAGGTACACAAGAAATCAATCTGTTCATAATAACACACAACAAACAACAAACAAATTCCCTCAAGTAAGAAACTACTTACACACGCCTACGCTCTTAGATCTTACGTTGGTTCAGTACCTAGACATTCCATAAAGAAAAAAACAGCATGTTAAGAACTATACTTAAGCCATAAAAATTGGTTCTAAATGGGTTTGAAGTGTCCGTTACCACAAAACCGACTTCGTTTGAGTGTAGGTAACTTAGATCTAACCTGAACAAGCGTGGGCAACGTATATCGAGCTTTAAACCAGTACAGGTAAGTGCCAAATGCCACTAAAATGCTGTTGTCCATAAGTTACAGGAGGGGAGACGCACCAAATCTACTACCGAAAGTTGTTGTATGCGAGTTTAGGTGACGAAGGTGTCGTTCAGACCCGAAGCAGTCGGAAGTCATTGTCAAACAGCCAAGCCGTCGCCGCACACTGTTGATCCATGGCGAACACTGCAGATTCACCGGACTGTCGTGCCTGGTGCAAAAATCGCCGTCGGTGGCTAAGCTCGGGCCACTGTGGGTCGTGCAAATCGCAGCTTGGTCGCTGGAGCTTGTGAGGGAAACGTCAAAAAAGAGATATAGAACCAAAATGCTAGGGAGAATTACACAAAATACCGTTTGGCACGGCTTTATTTCCGTTCAATGCAGTTGAAGAACCCGTCGTTGTCGTCCGTGGGCCGTCGCCGGAGCTCGTGCTTTCTTAGGTTGCTAGAGGGCGTCGTACTGCCATGGGTTGTCAGGGAGAATGCCGGAGGACGTGCATCCGAACACTAGATTGCATCGTCACTAAGAGGAACGCCCGTCATCGGAGACGAGCTAGAGGACGTCGAAAACACGAGGGGGTGGGGGCATCTGCTAGGCTACGAGGGAGGGGAAGGAGATGAACATAGGGTTTTGTTTTGTTTTAAAACTTTTCTTTAGTTATTTCTTCTCTTTTTTTTTTCAAAGAGCGATAGGCCCAAATAAAACAAAACCAAATGGGTTAGCCCTTATAAAAAAAAAGGTATATTCTTCTTAATCATTTCTCAAAATAAGATCTACTTAAAAAGGATTCGAGAAAATAAATTAAGATCTTAACTTATGCTTCAAACCCAATAATAAAATCCAAAATGGAAAATTAAATTTCTAAATCCTTGGAATAAGATTCAATTAAAAATCTCATCAAAAAATCGAAAACTTAATTTAGCTTAATCCGACGAAAATAAACTAAATTCTAATTTAGACAAAATTAGAATTCCAAAATACAAAATCCAAGAATTTAAATTATCTACTTAGGGGAAAATGCAAAGGCACAAATTCAAAATAATAATAAAACTCACCCGAGAATGCGGGGCATTACAAGTATAGTGTTTAGGTTCGATTTTCATTGTTTGTAGTTTTCGTCGTTATGTTTTTCCACGACTAACAAGGCAATAATAGAACTACATGCTCGCCTTGTTAATTATTTCGTCGTTATGTCCCTCTCGGGCCAGTGCGAGGGCGGAGCCCTTTATTCAAGTCCCGAAATCAGGATTTTGATAGAGCACTGATCTACTCCCCTCAAGTCGGGAAGAGTGAATTTCATCTTGTGAAGCTATGTTCCCAGGTTCGCACTCGGTTTCGTCCCCAAAATGGTAGGAATGTTGAATCGGCAACTCGGGTCACTCTCACCCATACAGATCAAAGGACGAGCTCTCACTGGCAAGAGTCCATAACTCACTCAGGATTGAGAATGAGTTGTCTGGTCATTCTATGAAATAACAATCTACTAATCAACAGCGTTACATCTAAAGATTAGCTATTTCATGGTCCGGTCTTATACAAACTCATTGTATATGATACCCCCACTCGCATGTCTCCATACGAATGACCTGGATTGGGTCGTCTGTAACATTTACAAAGTGGGCCATATCCATAATGTTGCCAGGGTAAGGTACCCAGCCTCATCCATATACTATAGACCCTTGAGGTTATTCCCGGAACATTATCCACTTGTATATCAATGGCATATCAAAGATATACCCCGTATATATATTGTTCTTATTACATGATTATAACCTTGGATGTTTAGTTTATTGGATTTAGTCAATGTTATGTTATAAACTCAACAAAAAATGTATGGAATATGAAACCACAACTTTATTGAATATGAATTTGGTTTTACATAATTACAAACTACAAGTTTAGGACAACACACCCAACATTTTTAACATCATACAACCCATCGTAGATATGTTATGATCTATTGTTACTTGAAAGGCTTCTACAAAGCTTTGGAGGAAATCCCCTCAGAGGCTAGTAGCCATTCCCTTTAATGTAAAAGTCTTAGGTGATAAAAGGGAGTGTGTGCATATTCTTTACTGTTGTTAAAAAGTTTTCATGTTTTGAAATAGGGAAAGATTTTAAGAAACTTTTTATTATTTTGAACTTTGTTGGCTTATGGTAATTTGGCTTTTAAAGATATGGAGACAGTAAGGTTGTGATGATCTTTCCTGAGACAGCATATGAAAAAAAAGTCTAGTCTATCCTTATGTTCGATGTTTCTTATGGTTGTTGAATGTGATTTAAGAGATATAATTTGTTAAGTTTGCTTAGGGAGAAGCAAAAAGCGAAGTTGTGAGGTGTGATTTCCCTTGTTTACAAGGATAAAAAGAAACTAGTTAGGTGCTGTTTTCTATTGTTCTTTACTCACAAACCGTGTTTTAAGCTTAGTTTAGTGTCCAAAACCTTTATTTCAGAGTTATTTTAGGTTATACATGCATATAGGACATTTTTACATCATTTAGAGTTGATTTCTAACTGAAATTGTGATTTTGTGCAGAAAAAATCTGAGTTAGGTGCCTAGCGCCTTGTCCAATTTCGAGAATGCCCTTATGTAAAACGCAAGTTTTTGTGTGTTTTGAAGCTTCCCATTGCCCTTCCACGTGTTTTCCATGCATTGATGATCGCTAATTCAACAACAAACCAACTTAAAGATATTTTAAAGGGACGACTCTCCATGAAAGTCTCAACATCCTAACCGACTTGAAGCTCCCTATACATATAGCATCTCCCTCACTTCATTCATCATTGTCAAGTGATCATTTTCAGCTTTAGATACATTGTTCTTAGCTTAATACGTTTTTTCCTTTGTTCTTAAGTGTCGTTATTTTAAACTTAGTTTATTTTCAAGTTCATTTTTTGTTTTACCAGCTTGTTACTTTTCAATTGTAAGCTTTCAATCTTATTAAGTTAAATTCTAGCAAGTTCATTCATATTTATTTCTCTCCCCCTCTCTATCATTAAAATTGTAATCACACAATCTTGTGGAATTGACTGAGTACGACTCCCAAAACTTGAAAGAACATGGGTACGGTCATTCAGGTTACAACTCCACCATTTTCAGCTTGTTTTAATTATATTCATCTCTTAATCATGTCCCTCAATTACATCAATGTTCAATTATGTTTGTCCTCTAAAGTTATGAGCTAAATTTATTTCCCCAAGTCCAGTTATGCATAATTAGCTAAAGCTTTTGAAATCCAACAAGATAAAAGGTGTTTTTCTCTTCTTTTATCACTTACGGTTGTTTATATAAGTTAAAACTTGATTTGACTAATTAATGTTTTAACCAAACATCAATACTAAAAAGGTTAACACATTTTTAAACTTTAATGATTTAACTTTGGAGAGATACTTTAGACATAAAGATTTTGCTCGGGTAGTCTAGACATAGTACCTCGACCTAAGGTTACAGATTGTTTTAATTAAATTAAGTTCATTTTTCTAATAGACATATTAGGGATGACTTTATATATTCAATATTACTTAGACATAAGAAGACGACGAAGCAAAATCAATGAAAATTTTAGAGAGGTGCCTAGTTGGAAAAAGTTTGCATATTTTTAGCTAATTTGAAATAATTGGGTTGGGTTTGTTGGATTAAGTCTAAAAATACCAAAACTAACATTATCGTTCATATTTCTTACCTAAAATAAATTGCAAAGTCACTGATCACGTCATTTTCATTAAAAAGGCTTCAATTGTCCCTGTGGATTGATTCTCGGAATATTCATTCTGTGAAGGGAGAAGAAGAAGGGAGAAAGGGTTTGGGCTAGAGCTTCTCTTTTTTTTTTTCTTTTGTTTTGTTTTAAAACTAAATTACCTCAATGGAGGCCCAATCATCCAAGCCCAAGAGAAAGGAGTCCTTTCCCCTTAAAACAAGACCCAACATACAGAGTTCGGTAATTATTAATTTAATTGGATTTTAGAGCCCGATAAATATAGATAAATTCAATTAACATTCACTTTAAAAATTAAATGAAAAATCTCCTGATTCGAGACTAACTAACCCGATGGACTCGGGGCATTACAGACTTCCCTCCTTCAAAAACTTTCGTCCCCCCGAAAGTTGACTGTTCTAACAGTTCAGGGTATCTCGCCTTGATATCGTCCTCCCGCTCTCAAGTAGCTTCTTCAACTTGGTGGTTTGTCCACAAAACCTTAACCAAGCGAATCGTCCGGTTCCTCAACAACTTGGTTTCTCTTGCCAAAATTTTGACGGGTACCTCTTCGTAGCACAAGGACTCATCCAGTTGCAATGGTTCAGGGTCCAAGACGTGCGAAGGGTCATGAATGTACTTNTTTTTGTTTTTTTGTTTCTTTTGTTTTGTTTTAAAACTAAATTACCTCAATGGAGGCGCAATCATCCAAGCCCAAGAGAAAGGAGTCCTTTCCCCTTAAAACAAGACCCAACATATAGAGTTTGGTAATTATTAATTTAATTGGATTTTAGAGCCCGATAAATATAGATAAATTCAATTAACATTCACTTTAAAAATTAAATGGAAAATCTCCTGATTCGAGACTAACTAACCTGAGGGACTCGGGGCGTTACACTATCAACTTCCAGGAGGAAAAGGTAAGTACCCCCAACCAAGATGAGAAGGCCGAGAATCTCAAGGTAAGTTCAAATGAGGTTGACCATAAATTGCCTTGTGATGATATGCATGAAAATTATATTTTATTTGATTGSAATGACTTACATGATTCTATGCCTATGGTTGAAAAGGAAAGTAGCGAACTTGTAAGTTGTAAGACCATGCATGACATTAATATTCCAATAAAAAACAAAGAAATGCATGATGTTTTGCCACTTGCCGAGGAGGAGATTACTAGGAAGGTACTTTGCGATTAAATACACTATACCATGGTCCTTTACCTATTGAAAATTTTTGTGATTATGAAGTATCTAAGCTTGATCAACCAATTCATGAAGATCCACAAGTTGAATGTGAGTTGAAAAAAAGTAGCTACGGAAAGAGAGAAGAGAAAAAGAGAATGGTCCACACTATCGTGCCTCACAAGCTAAATCTTAAGAGACTGTTGAAGAATGATCCTTACCTTCAAAATCACTTACCTTATTCAAATGTTTGTATCATTCTTAAGATTTTTGTAGGATGGTATCAAGATGGAGTTTCATGGACTTGTCCTACCAATTTCTCACAATCTCAAGATCACCTTACAAGGTACGTATATGATAAATTTTAAGTTGAAAGGTAATAACTTGTTTCGTTTTTGTGAAGGTGATCATGAACAAGTAAAGGTATGGCCAAGCATCATGAAGAAGTCCCTCGAACAAAGTCATGGCCAAGAACACAAGTTACTGCATTGGAGGATTATTAAAATACCAAGCACCAAGTGGAGGCCAAAGAATTTGAAGCAACATGTCCACAAACCAAGTGAATCGGCTTGGAAGTCCTTCTGAAAAGAACGAGAATGCTTTAAAGAGACATTCAAAGGAAGCCAATAGGAGAATCATTATCACAAGATTTCAAGATTCCTCAACAAGGTAAGAGTTATGAATTAGAGAAAACTAATTTGCTTTGTTTATGTGTAGGTGACCGCTTTGATTCAAGGACG